TTTGGGCGTTTTAACAAAGCATTCTAAACTTAGACAGCAGTTTCTCACAGAAGCATTCTGGATTCCAACCTTTCAGTTAATAATTTTTTGTGTTTGGGGGAATGGTTAGCCATTTAGAGTGACGAATATGGTCAGGACAAACTCTAAAACTACCTCAGACTTCAACATCGAACCTGCAACGGCATCAGAAAAATGTCTGGAAAACAAAGTTAAAAGTTGGTCAACCTTGGAATGCAGATCTTCCTTCACTTTCATCAGTAAGCCATTCCTTGTTCCCTTCTTTTCATTAGGTATGGTGCCAATCTCCATTTCTGTGCCATCAGCTTGGAGTGCCTTTTTTCCTAAGGCACAGTCTGCAGTTTTGTGGTGAGCGTAGCATAGTTTTCTGCTTTCTTCCTACATGGTGATACTTATTTATGAACCTCGGAAAAAAGAAGGGTGAGTGGCACCCACCGGTGTATGAACTCAAGACCTATCGGTTCTGGGTTCGACGCCCTACCGACTGAGAAACCTCTGCCTGAAGCAATGTGTCATAAATTTCATGCTCAAGTGAATTATGAATAAAACAAAGGATGCGTCAAGCAGAATCGAACCACATACTTCCGGTATTACAATCAGACCTCGCAGACAACTGTGCCATTACAGCGGAAAGAAAAGAACCTGTGCTGCACGAAGATGCACAGCGCAGCCAGCAGATATAGTTGCATTCTCCCTTTTCTGGAGTCCTTGTTTCAAAGTCTATAACTGAGTAAATCGTGAGAACTTTCGAACGCTGAGGTTCCTCTCTTACATTGGCAAACGCAGTAGTGGCGAAGCGATTCAACAATCCTTGTAGACCTTGCCGCTGAACGGATTCACGCCTGATCGAACTTGTTCCAGGAATTAGTTTTTACTTTCGCCACTGCTGCCTTGCGCATGTGTGTTGAAAGCTCATTGCAACCAAGCCATCTGTTGAATGCAGCCTTCTTATGTCTTGCAGGAAGTTCTTTCTGATCTCCAAGTATCAGGCCAATCGGTTGGAAACCGAGGCATTCGGTTGTATCTCTGAAAAAGCCGCCCCCTAAACCAATTTTCACATCAATGGTCCTCACCTGGATCAGTTCAAACCATCGTGCGATGTTGTTTGCAAATTTCGCTCTCATGTCCACCGGAGATAACTGTTTCTAACTTGATTTTCCGGTTGCTTCTGCCACCAGATCTTCGTATGGGTACTCCATTTCTTAGAGAGTAGCATGCCAGATACGAGGTAGTGATCAGTGGGCAACTATGTGCCTCTAAACGCTTCTCGATAGTCCAACCATGTCAAGTTCATGACACTGGTAAAGGCAACCTGCCAACCGTTGAACGATAGAAGGATCGAGAGCAAATGCTTTCAGTTTAACCTGCAGCTTGTCATGATGGGTTGTGTTGAATGCTGACGACAGGTCGAAAAATGTTGCGCTAATAACGCAGCCGTGTTTGCCAAGTTCGTTCCAAGTTTCGTTTGTTAAGGAAGCAATGGCGTCTTCTGTCCGTAGCCATTTCTTTAAGCGAATTGCAATGAATCATTAGCAATCTTTTGTTCTATAATAGCTCAATCAGGTGTTCGAGATACTTTAGCTCGGCAGAGGTAGTGCGATTGGCTGGCATATATCAGAGCCTTTGATCGATGGCCTTTCCTTTCGGGCAGTAGGTTAAAAAATGTCCGGAATTGGAGCGTGGCGAAGGCAATAGTTAAACATATAGCAGGTAATGCTGCATAGTTCAGCTTAACAAAGTTTTAGCACACAGGGACTGACCCTGTCAAGACCTGAAGCCACGTTAGAATGGAAATGTGCAAGATACCTCTGTGCTTGGTGAATTGTGCAAATTTCCTTCCTCATCCTCCTTCAGTCGCTGGAGCAAAGAAAGTGTCTGGAATTGGCTGTCATTCTCGAATCGCACAAAATAGCGGTTGAGATCAGTTGTATTTACCTCAATGTTTTTGGAGGTGAATCCTGCCTTCGCTGTAATACGTAGCGATTTAACGTTTCTCCACAGATTCTTTGGATCCAAATCAATGAAGCAGTGATTCATACACACTTGATTTAAACAGATCTCATTCTTTCCGCAAAGGAAATGTCTTGATACATCTGGCAATCATCTGAGTTACATGCTTTTTGTTTTTGGCGACGGAGAAGTTGCAGTATCCTGGAGAAAATGCGGCATTCAGTGACCAACACCTTAAGAGATTGGCGATGGGCATCAAAACAGTCAGT